AGGGGGAAGTAAGACCTTACAAACCAGGTGTTCTGTTCTGTGACATCAGTTTACATAAGAAAAGATCATTCAGATGGTCAGTTTCTGAGTCATGTTAAGGGCAACTGTAAAACTGGAATGACAATGCACTTGCAACCAGGTAAACTTAGATACGCTAGTTTGTTTTAAAATTATAGATTTACTGTATATGACTTGTAATATACTATCATTTGTATTTGTAAAGAGATGGTCTATATTTTGTAATTATTGTACCGTATTTGAACTGCAGCAATATCCACGGGTCCTAATAATTGTAGTTCCCCACTGAAATCTAGAAGTCATCTGTATTTTTACTTGGGCTATACAGAAGTAGAGGAAATAGAGCCAGCTCTCATTTACTCAATGAAAATCATTTGAGGATAAAATTTTGAGTTCGAAAGAACTTGGCACTACAGAGATTTTTCTAAAATATTTTGAGTCACTATCAATCTTTCTTTACACATGATATACCAGATGACTATTTGTAGTCCTTCTATTTGGGCAAGAGTTTGAGTTCTATGATTTGATATTATACTTTTAGATTTATTATGTATGGATTACAACTTTTTTTTTTTTTTTTTAAGCTTTAACCTTTTGATAAATTAATTTCAGAATAGGTCAAGCTGGTTACTTTGACCCTGTGGTATTCAGTTTTGGTATCTCAGCTGCCCATGTAGGATACTTTTGCATCTCTGGTGCAGAAATAATTGCACAGGTGAATGAAGTAAGTCTGCTTGTGTTCCCCAGGGAGAACTAGCAATGCTGCTTATCTAACAAGGGGTGGAGGAACAGAATGAGCAAACATGATGCTCTACAGGATTAGAATGTCCGGGTCTGTGCAAATCGTATTGTTGCCTTTTGACAAAATGTTTGCTGTACTGTGTGTTCTTGTTGAGGGCTTTTATATGCAAATGATGAGGGCTGCTGTTTCCATTAGAATGCACTCACTCTGATTGTAAGTCGTGATGAAAACCCACTTTGGGGTAATTAGTACCGTCTAGGCTTCCTTTTCTGTTAAATAACATTTTGCTGTCTTAGTCATGTTCCCTTTGGCAGGGATTACCTGCACTCAGAAAGACAGGTAGCAATTTTGGGTTCAAATTTTTAACTATTACATAACTTGTTTATTAAGGATTTTTTTGAGTTTTTTTTTTTTTTTTTTGTAAATAACACTTTGTTATGAAGACCTTACAAACCTCTTCTTAAGACATTCTTATTCTAGCTCCAGGCAAAAACACTTCAAGGTTTGTAAATGACTGTTTCCTGACGTAAATCCTTTTTTAAAAATTAAAATGCAAAATGTTCTTCAGAATAAACTGTGTAATAATTTTATTATACTTGCGAGCTCTCCTTGCAAGAAGCTGGCTTTTTGCCACCTGGAGCGTCCACAGGGGCTCTCTGTGAGGGCCGTTCTGTAATGTCTTCTTATCCTTGGGGTTCCTTTGACACCAATATTGTCACACCAGCTGTAGAGAGCACTGGTTCTCCTGAAGGGCTAACCCCCCGCCAACCTCGTCTTGGACTCTGTGTGGCTCAACGCTGTCAGGCCGGAATCTGTTTACAGTCATCGTCTTTTCCAAAGTCAGCACTTGAAAGCTGGCTTTTTTTTTTTAACAGGTAGCACCATCCCTGCTATGCCTCTTTGGAGCCTGACTTCAACCTCTCATGTAATTATTAAATGTTACTTTGAAAGAAAAATGTCAAGTTGTAAAGGATATAATTTTTTCTTTGCTTTAGGAAAGTTTTCAAGATTAACTCCCTCTTTCCTTTTGGTTTCTCCTCCTTTACCTGCCCTCTCCATCTGAAATCATTTTGATGTGTCCACAGTGACAGTATAGTTGTTTACCTATCTTGTGTTTCTCATATCACAAAACAGAAACTAAGCCACGAGTAGCTGTCATTCGGCAGGGAGCACATCAACAGGAATCATCTCTGACCAGTGCACTGACTCCAGTTTCTGTGAGACTACAGGAGCTCCGCAGGTCCAGGCAGTGTTTTCTAGCCATAGTCTAAGGTGTCCCAGAACCAGCTGCAGCCCAGGGAGGTGGGCAAGTGAGGCGCCAGAAGCATCTCAATGGCCACGTGGTCTGTACTTGTTGGTGAGTCTGAACTGACCCAAGGTTGTGAAGGAAACCAGAGCAGCTGCCAAGTGAGTTTATTTCATGTTTATTTTTTAATCCTAAGAGTCTTTGCCAATTGCTTGTTTGTTTGTTTTTCCTGTAGAGTTTTTTAATGTTATGATGGATAGTTGGTTTATTTTAAACACCAATTACTATAACGGCTGGTCAGGCATGGTGTTTCCTTTTCAGACTCCTACCATCAACATACAGGCTCCAACTATGCTTTCCTTTGTCAAAAAGCTTGTCTTGAAAACCTGTTTCTTCTCCTCCTCCTCTACTGGCAGCTAGGAGGCAGGAGAGCAAGGAATGGTCCTGGGCACCAGGCTGAGAGATGAGCTGAGGGTGTCCTGTGGGAACAATGGTAGGAAACAGTGCCTGTGTCACATGACAGGGCCCGTGGGGATAATGGGCATGTTTTTCTGATTTTTCTCAAGAGTGTTACTGTGTCTGATGTTAACTTGGTTTATCAGTGGAAATACGCATAGCCTTTGGGATGAATAGTAGTATGGTTTGGCTAGCGAAAAGAATCCACTGGAATTCTATCAGCCTATGATGCTGTAAGTTATGTATAAAGTTATAAATAAAGCAATAAGGTTGTAAGTTAAGGCACCTGCAGCTTCCACTTACAGGAATTGCCATTTGCAGATGCTTCCAGCCACCAACGCAGCGACTCCATCCAGAAGAAGGTTCTGGTGACATAGCTGAAATGCAGGCTTCTTCAGAGAACTCAGATGCTCCCCAAAGTGCTCCAGCCACCAGGCACACAAGTTTCTGGTAAGCACAAGGTACTCTTCCATCTCTTAAGCACTGCAGGCATTTTGCTCTTCACGAGCCTGAGTGCTACTGGCCCCCAGCTTTGTAGTTCCTGCTTCAGGCACAGTCCTCTCAACACTTCTCTCACACTCGGCTTTCTGTCAACAGCCTCTTTGTGAGGTGGACGGGCCCTTCATGGCAGGGTAATGTTTGGGCAGCAGTCATTATGACCCACCCTAGAGATCCATGGGAAGAATTGTTTTAAATCAGAACTCTGTTGTCTGAACCCCCACAGTGCAGCATCCACTGCTGACTTCTGTAGGCTCTGGGTAGAGGACACTCATGGTTCTTTCTCCGGAGACATATTTGTATTTCCATGTTTGGCTAAATCATGAGATCTGATAGATGGAATACGCCTCAAGTTTGGAGGTGAGCAGGTAATACACGCGATGTCTCATTTCATCAGGCGTACTCTGCATATCTTAAACATACAGCCAGTGCATCTCATCAGCACTAAGAGGCTGAGTGCAGGAAGTACCCAGAGATATGCCTGCACCAGAGACAGTAGGGAGAGATTGACCACAGTCACAGTCAGGCCTGAGCACACCTTTTAGACACAGAACTTTTCACTTCTGACTTCAACGGGTCCTTTCTGGCAGGAGGATGATCCTGGCCCTCAGCGTTGGAACAGGCATTCCAGCTCCTCTACTCTCCTTCATGTCCACAGGCCACCCTAGCCTGAGAGGCCTGACTGCCATAACTGTTGCTAACAGGAAGGAAGGGCTCCTCTCTAGGAGAAATGAATCTCTTGGAACAGAAGAATAAAGCAAGATACAGGTAAAATTTAAGAGATGCTTAAAATTTCAAACAGAAAGAGGTTTCTCAGACGCTGAAGTTGTTAGCTACCAGTTCTCCACGTCATTTGCAAGCCACTTTAATCTACTCTGATCCTAGGGAAGCCTAGAGTCTCCCCATTTTCCCCTCTGCTTATTTCAAGCCCAGGATAAGCTACTAGATAGATGGCAATACTTTCCTTCCATCCGTAGTTGGTGGATCTGTACATGGGAACTTCAAAAAGTTCCTGAAAAAGTGGAATTAAAAGATAATGGAATTTCTCCACAAACTTTTGAAGCCCCCTTGTATATCTTCAGGAAAAAATGAATGCAAAATGCATTTAGTTTTCATTACCTTGTAAGAACAACCTATAAGGCAACTTAGTTTAAAAAAATAGGTAACTGGATTACAGTACTGAATTTTAAGAAGTTAAAGATCAAAGAGCTGTTTTAAATGCTGCTTGTATCTATTTTTTCTTCAAAAAAAAATTCAACCTTTGGCCAGTTTATTTTTCTTTCATTCAGTTGTTATTTTTACAGATCCAGGGTTTCACTAAGCACCATCCTGGTCTGTTCCCATGGACGCCAGAGAATAGGAACTGCACAGGCCTGCTGTGGCTGAGTCATCGCCCAAGACAGGACAGAAGTTTGGGTATGAAGTGGGGTCGAGTCTGGGTTTCTGTGTTTCCTAGCTAACAGAAAGATACCTTTCATCATGAAACATACGGTAGTAAAACTAAAGTGGCATGCCCTTCAGACTTTCCTCCCCTGGAACCAGGTCCAGAAATCGCCCCATGGGGGCTGCCTGTGTTGAAGGAGAACCAGAACCCCCCTCCCCCTTGCCCCCGAGTGACCTGGCAGAGCACCAGTTCCCACTAGGGGAGGCCTAGACTTTTATGCAAACCTGGGCCACGACCTGACTCCTGAGCTCCGCTTCCATCTGAAAAACGAAAAGCCTGAGCTCAGTGAGTCTGCTTCTTGGGAACACTGGCCTCTGCAGAGCACCACGTGAATAGAAGACATAATGGGAGTTAGTCCAACCCTCCGTTATCCTGTCCCTCCTGGAGGCAGGAAGCACCCACATTGAAGTACAGGAGAACTTGATTCACTGACCAACACTGCTCTCATTTCCTTAAAATGTATCCAGTTCTCAGTCTGAGTGGGGACCACAGAGTCCTAATGTTCTAGACAGTTCCAGGAAAACAGCATTTTGAGGATGGACCAACACTGGCTTTGTCTTGGGGCTTCTCCGGTCATCCTCCGGGCAGTAACTGCCTTAACGCTGGGTGGCCAGGGTCCTAGGCTTGTAGACGGGGACATCCTTGTCAAAGAGTGCAGGCTGCCCCCTAATCAGGTCAGCTGCTTTCTCTGCGATCATGATCGTGGGGGCGTTCAGGTTGCCACTGACCACACTGGGCATGATGGAGGCATCAACAACCCTCAGGTTTTCAACCCCGAGGACTCGGGTCTGTGGATCCACCACGGCCATGGGGTCGGAGGGCTGGCCCATCTTACAGGTGCACGAGGGGTGGTAAGCGCTGTCCGATTTCGCTCGCACAAAGGCGTCTATCTCTTTGTCTGATTGCACGTGGCCTCCTGGCTGGAGTTCCTTCCCTCGGAATGGATCCAGGGCTTTCTGTGCAAAAATTTCTCTGGACAACTTCACACACAGACGTAAATCCTTAATGTCGGCTTCTGTCAAGGAGAAGACACAGGTAAGACCACTTTCTTTCACCATACTGGAAAACTCGTGGCATGGGAGTCTCAGTAAGCTGCCCGAGGGGACACAGTTAAGGGACAAAGAGGCCAAGCTGCCAGGGTACTTGTCTCTCACCCATGGACATTCAGACTGCTACTGAGGCACATAGACACAAGTCTGCAATAGGTTTAAGTCAGCGACTGGTTTTCCCCACCTTAAACAGGGACACGAGTACACATCCACAAGTCACACTGGGTCCAGAGGTGCCGGGCCAACTGCCAAACCTGCCCAAAGCAGAGTTCTTATTTTTGCTGTATGCAAAGAGGCAATCCAGGGGCCTGATAACCCTGTTAAAAAATGCTCAGAGCAACTGGAGAAAACTGTGAAGCGAGTCACATGCACATGGCTGTGACTTCTGTAGATTGTTGTGGAAGGTACAACTCTCTGTGTGAAGTGGTGCCCTGAGGTTACTTCCGGTGGATAGGACAGCACAGAGCAACAAACCGAGGATGACTTGGCGACAAATAGGAAGCCCATAAGGAATGGCCAGGGGCAGACACAGGAGGCTGGTGAGTTACCTGTGGACAAGTAGTTGGGTTGGATCACAGGGTGGTCCCGGGGGTTGGCGCTTCTCAGTTTTAGCCAGCCCACACTTGTGCTCCGCATAGTCCCCACATGCACCTGAAGAAACCAGAGACATCAGTAGTTACCTACGTTTCCTGCAGGATGAGATTCTACATCCTAAGTCAGTTAGGAGCAGGTATGTTCTAGCATCTGCATCTTACCCACCTGCCTCATGGATAAGAGCTGCCTTCATGACTGCCTAGAACGAAGGAATTGTTCCCTCTTTTTGCCTGCACACCTGTTCATTTGAAACTTTGGGGCTGACAGTTTGGGGCAACCTGTCCATTTCGGGTGCTCAGGACCTGGGCCAGGTCAGGGTCTAACCTTCCCAATGTGCCACACAGGCTTATACACTTCTCCCTTTCCATCCCCCTCCCCCCACCCAGACAAGCTGCTGGGCCCACCACTCTGAGGGTCCTATGTGCTGGAAGAATTTGTCCTGGTGAGAGGATGAGAACAGTGGGAAGAAAGAGCCTTCTGGAGCTGAGATGCCTGCTCACCTGGTAAGCCTCCTGCTGGGTAGGTACCCGCCCATGGTCAATCACTTGAGAAGGCAGGAAATGGAACTGGATGTCGGGATGAGGAACCCCAGGCTGGCTCCGGATGAACCCACCGGTTTCTAGATGTGCAGTGGCGCCATCCCCTGAGGACCAAAAGCAGACAAGTGTAACAGTTCATTTTGTTTGTCAACGTGATGCCAGTGTTTTGGCCACACACGAGACTGCTAACCTTTAGTTGGCAGTTTGAACCCACTAGCCAATCTTGGAAACCCTTCACAGGGTCATTATGAGTCAGAACCAACTCAAAAGCATTTAATAGCATCAATGATACAATCAGTCGATTAATTGAAAGGGTGCGGTCTGTCTCCAGTCTAACTATTCTGGCAGAACTTGATGTCTCTACTGTGCTCTTCCTGCTGCCTAATCTACAGATCTTGGACCGAGGCTGCAGATTATCCTTTAAGTATAATCTCTCTCCCCCTCCCTCCCATATAGGTGGAGAACATTCAGATTTGTAGGTTTGTTCTTAATCCTTGGCAGTCTCTTTTTGAGGGTGGGCAAGGATTTGTAGGAAGGACGAGAGCGGCATCACAGGGAACAGAATAGAGAAGGGTCATTCTCACTCATGAGGAGATATAGTTGGACACCTCAATCGGGTTTCTGTCAGGATCTCGGAAATAGATGGACATAATGGGCCCTTCAGCCCCCGTTCTGGGCACTGGACCTTCCTCAATGGAGACATCACAAGACTTGAGGAGCTGGATCATTTCCTCCAAAGGCATCTCTGTGATTAGGCATATGTCCAGGGAGCCAGGAACTGGATGAGCAGCTTTGGGCTTAAATTCCTTCCCCACCTCATTTCTGGATTCCAAAATACAAAGCTTTCCAGTTTCCCTTGAAAGTCATGGCCTCCATGCCCAGGATCTTAGAATAAAACATGGTAGTGTCTTTGATGCTCTTCACTGTCATCACAATGTGGGCATGTCTATGAATAAGACACGGGGGAGGAGTCTGACTGCTATCTCTCCATGATGTGTGCCAGGTTTGATGCCATGTGTTGAGGATACAACAGGGGAGATAATAAATCTGCTCCTCTTCTAGCGCTCAGAATCTAGTGGGTAAATTCTTTTAACGATAATGGTCCTATGCAATATTTCTCCTTTTGTGACTGACTAATTTCACTCAGCATAATATCCTCAAGGTTCACCCATGTTATGCGGTGGCTTTCAGCTTCCTTGGTCCCATTATATTTTAATACCATTTTTCAACGACCTTTTTGAAGTCCCCTCATATATATAAATCAGAAAATCAAACACACTGCTATTGAGTTGATTTCAACTCACAGTAGCCCGAGACAGTACAGCCTCTGCTTTCTCCTGCAGAGGGCTTAAACCACCAACCTTGCAGTTAGCAGCCCAATGCCAGGCCCAATATTACAAGGGTGCCTTCATATATATATGTGCTAGTGGTGGTCATACACCATTGAGTTGGTGCAAACTCATAGTGACCAAGGGTTTCCAAGGCTCTAAATCTTTATGGGATCAGATGGCCTCATCTTTCTCCTGAGGAGTGGCCAGTGGATTCTAATTGCTCTCCTTGCGGATTAGCAGTCCTATCGTATTTTATCTCTTTACAATGACTACAACCCCCCTCCATGCATCATCATTTAACAGCATTTGCTTCTATTCCATTTGTTTTTGAATTCTGATGTACACAAAACCATTGAGGAATATATAATTATTTAACCAACCAAAGGGTACATTCTGCAAGCCAGCCTCCTAGCTGCCAACACACAGCCTTTCTCTTTCAAAGAGTCTAGGGACCTCAGCTGCTCTCTCTCTCTCTCCCTCTCCTTCTCCTCATCTCTGCCTCCATCTCTGATGTCACTGCTTTTCTGGATAGAGTACCATATTCCTTTCATGCTCTTCTCTTTTGATGGTCCTAGGGTCCGGTCCTCTGTTCCTGGACTGTTAAGATTAACTACTCCCCCCTTTATGTTATACTCGCAAATAGTCATAATAACAAGTACTTATTATTGAATGAACAGAATCCTATCCCCACCTCCTTTCACCAGATGCATCTAGACAAGACAAAAACTATTCAGTGGGGATTCTACCTTCCCCTTCTCACTCCGAAACTAAACTCCCTCTTGAAAACTTGTAAGCCAGTCGTTTAGTGCCTTTATAGCTACTACATCCATAAATACAGGTCAAATACATCAGTTAGATGCTTCACTTTAAGCTCTAACCCTCCATAGCTAGATGAATGTCCTTGGGCTCAGGAATTCCAACTCTCTCCAAATTTTGGACCAACTAGCCCTTCCTCTTATCTATCTCATCTCAAAGTTGACAGAAGTCTATGGAATGTCATTGAACTCAGCCCATATCTTCATTGCTGACTTTCCCCCACTTCCACTCACATGTAGACCAGTGAGGTCACCAACAAGGTTACATGCCTGCTCATTTGTTCCCTTTGAGTTTCAGTCTTTGAAAGGGGTTTGTACTAAAGGGACTTGATTGCTTGCCTTGATGGGTCCCCAGCAAACAGCTTGCTTTTTCTTGTAATAGCCAAACAGATTGCTGTTTTGTTTTTTCCTCCTGGTCTTTCTTTTAAGTAGTATCATCTGTTCCTCTAGGTACCCAGGCTGGCCTGCATGTCCTTTCAAGTGGTAATGTCCCACCTCAGAAGGTTCTGGATAGGGCTCAGGATTCCACCTAAGGTCATATACACTACAAAGTTTCTGCAAGAAGCCTATTTCACTAGACAAGTTCTAGAACCCTTTTAGGCATTCTAATCAGTTACAGGCTGAAGACGGTCTGACAAGCTTTCTGTAATCATGTTTCCCGATATTCCTTTTGATTCCACTGAAGTGTCTATTTTTAAAAGGTAGGCAAAGGAAATCAGTAGTCTTAAGACAGTCAAGCATCTTAACATTATTTACCTTCTTTGACTCATTCACACTATGCCCCAATCTCTGTATCACAGAAGCCTGTTCCAAGGTTGAGCATACCTGTTTCATTTAGCCCATGCAAACCTCCTGCCTGCATTCCCTTATCTACCTTGTTTTTCCATTCCCCTCCACCTTCATGTGTATTGCCATCCCCAACACCTGAACTATGATGTGTCTGTCTATTCCCTAACCTGTGCTTTACTGTCCCCTCCCTCCCACCCCAGTAACCAACTAAGAATTTTTTTCCTTTTTGTATAGTTATCTTTTGTTAGGCATTTACAGTAATGGTCTAACTGTAAATAATTCAGTATTTGTCCTTTTCTGGCTAATTTCACTCAACATAATGTCCTCAGAGTTCATCCATGTTATGTGGAGGTTTGCAGGTTCCTTGTTATTCTTCAAGGTAGTATAATAATCCATTGTGTGTATCTACCAGAGTTTGTTTACCCATTCTTCCACTGATGGGCACTTAGACGGTCTCTTTTTGCTACTGCAGTAAACATAGGTGTGGGTGTATCTAGTCATGTTCTGGCACAAACCATCTCCTCCCCATTCACTGCATTTTGGCCCTTTAACAAAGATCAGCTGGGTATATGTGGATGGTTTAATTTCTGGATTCTCAGTTAGGTTCCACTGATCTATGCATCACTGTACCAGTAATAGGCTGTTGACCACTGTTTTGACCACTGTAGCCATGTAATAAAATTAGAAATCGGGAAGTGAGATGTTTCCAAATTTGTTCTTCTTCTTAATCAGTGGTTTACTTCTCCTGTGTCTCTTTCCATTTAAACTTTGTAATCATTTTTTCCGTCTCTTAAAGAATGTTGTTGGAATCTAGATTGATATT